CAGAGCCTCGCAGGGCCGTCACATAGTCGGACACCTTGTCTTCGAGACTTCCGATATGGCCGTCCCTGATGGCCGCGCCGACCAGGGTGGAGGTCAGCGATTTTGCGACGGAGAAACTCGTCCATCGCTTGTGGCGATCCTGATGCAGCCCGTATCGCTCCAGCCGGATCTGGCCATCGTGCAGGACGACCAGCGCGGCGCTGTTCTGGCTCTCCAAATAGGCGTCGATGTCCAGGTCGAGCGCCAGCGGTTCGCCTTGCGGAAGCGGGCGAACGTGATCGCCGGCCCCGATGCGAACGCTGTCGATGATCGGCAGCTTGTCGGAAAGCGCAAAGCCGGAGTCACGCTGGCTTTGGGTCCATTGAAGAACACGGTCGTCCAGGGGCGGATTTGAGAGAAATGTCCGCCATTGCGGGCCGATCGCGTACCAGGCGATCGCTCCGGCTGCCACAAGCAGCGCCAGGCCGTAGCCCGCGATCTTCATCATCTTCGCCATTGCGTTCCTCCCGCCGCTCGTGGGTTCCTCCATCTGTCGGCTGCGATAGTCAATGATCAAGTTCGGCACGGCGACCCCTTTGGTCCGAACCGATTGCAAATCGCGATGGCAATCGGCAGTCTGCCAGCGCATGATCGGGAGGAACGGATGCGCCGCTCGCTGTTGATGTTGATGCTGTGCATGCCGCTCGGGACCGCCGCGGCCGCCGACCTGCCGCCGCCTGTCACCGACGACATGTTCGCGCCGGTCGATGAGGCCGAGGCGCGGCTTGGCTGGCAGCTCTTTTGGGACCCGGTGCTCTCGGGCAACCGCAACATCTCCTGCGCGACGTGCCATCATCCCGATTTCGGCACCGGCGACGGCGTGTCGCTGGCCTTGGGAGAGGGCGGCATCGGGCTCGGTCCCGACCGGCGCGTCGATCCCGAAAATCCGCCCGAACAGCGCATTCCGCGCAACGCGCCGGCGCTGTTCAATCTCGGCGCGCGCGAATTCACGGTGTTGTTCCATGACGGCCGGATCGAGGTGGACGAGACACGGCCCTCGGGCCTGCGCACGCCGCTCGAAGACGAGATGACCGGCGGCTTTGCCAACATCCTGTCCGCGCAGACCATGTTTCCGGTCCTGTCGCAGGACGAGATGGCCGGCCACTATAGCGAGAACGAGGTGTCGCTGGCCGTCCGCATGGGGCGGATCACCGGCGAGGGCGGCGCCTGGGACCGGATTTCGCAGCGCGTGGCGGCGATCGATGCGTACCGGACCCAGTTCGAGGCGGTCTATCCGGAGATCGGGGCGGGCCGGGCCATCGCATTCACGGATATCTCGAACGCCATCGCCGCCTTCATTGCGTTCGAGTGGCGTTCCGACAAGGCGCCGTTCGATGCGGTGCTGCGCGGTGAGGCGGAACCGACCGGCGCTTCGGCCAAGGGATTGGACCTGTTTTATGGCGAAGCGGGCTGCGCGACGTGCCATGCCGGCCCGTTACTGACCGATCACGGGTTTCACGCCATGGGGCAGCCGCAGATCGGGCCGGGCAAGGCCGAACGGTTCGAGGCCCATGCGCGCGACATTGGCCGCATGCGGGTGACGGGCGACCCGGCCGACGCCTACAAGTTCCGGACACCAAGCCTGCGCAACGTCGCGCTGACCGCGCCCTACGGCCATGCCGGGGCTTTTGGAGAACTGGACGCGTTTTTGCGCCATCATGTCGATCCGGCGGCAGGCCTTGCCGCCTATGATCCCGGTCAGGCCGTGCTTGCCACGCTGCAAGGCGCCGACGATTTCGCCGTTCTGAACGATGCCGACGAGCGGACGGCGATTGCCGAGGCGGTGGAGATCGAACCGGTGCCGCTGGCGGATGCGGACATTGCCGCGCTCGTGGCGTTCCTCGGAACGCTGACGGACCAAGCCGCCGCCAAGGGCCGGTTCGGCATTCCCGACGCTGTGCCGAGCGGGCTGGAGGTCGAACGCCAGCGAGATTGAGCGGAACGTTGCTCAATCGTCGCGCGTGATGGTCCAGATGCGGCCGGCGGCGAGCGTTCGCCATTCGGTCATCGTTCCATCCGGCCAGATCACGCGGATTTCCGCCGTCTCGGCGTCGCCGAGGCCGAAATGCTGAGGCAGGGCCGATCCGCCGGCATGGCCGCCGCCGATGGTGATCTCGCGCGTGTGAATGCGGTCATCGATCCTCGATTCAACGAACGCGCCCACCGCGTTGATATTGCTGCCCGATTGGCGGACATCGACCATCAGCCAATTGCCCGCGTGGGGCGTTGCGTTTTCATGCACCTCCAGCGGCGCGCGGCGGTTGACGACGATCAGGTCCAGTTTCCCGTCGGCGTTCAGGTCGGCGAGCGCGGCGCCGCGAGCGCGGTCGGTCGTGGCGACGCCGGCCAGATGGGCGGTTTCGGCAAACGAGCCGTCCGGTTGCCGGACCAGCAGATTGTTGGGGTCTTCGATCGCATTGGAGGGCATCTGGTCGACATTGCCCTTGGCGATGAACAGATCGTCGCGGCCGTCATTGTCGACATCGCCGAATTCGGCATGCCACCCCGTCGACGGGCGTCCGTCGTCGCCGATGAACGGGCGGTGCGCGTAGGAGCCCATCTCGAAGGGTGCTGCTTCATAGCCCGTGTCGGTTGCGATCTGCAGGAGCTGGTCGCCCATCGACGTGGACATCACTTCGGCGCGGCCGTCGCCGGTCAGGTCGCGCGCGGCGATCCCCATGCCCCACAAGGACACGTTCGGCCAACCGTCGGTTTCGGTGAGGAAGGTGAGCGATTCCAGATCGAGCTTCTGCTCCGATCCGCCGCGGACATAGTAATGGCGATCGTTGGAGATGCGCAGAAAGGGCCTGCCCAGGCGCCGTTCGTCGGAAATCAGCATGGACAGCGCACAAAAGCCGGGCTCGATGCGGATCGGCGGAGCAAAGCGGCGGCCGGCCGGCCGGTGCAGTTCGTTGGCATCGCACGCTTCGAACGGGCCTTCGGGATCGGCACGGTCGACATAATTGCCGACGGCCAGGGTCGGCCAGTGCTGCCCGTCTTCCCATGTGGCGGAAAAGGACGTCGACCATGCCTCGCCCGGCGCCAGGGCCCATTGAGCGGTTGCATCCGTGAAGCGGCAATCTGCTCCGCCCTTCAGGATCACGTTCGGGCCGACCCGCAGGACGACGAGGTCCATATGGCCGTCGCTGTCGATGTCGAGCGGGTAGGCGCCGGTAACGCCGGTGAGTTCGGGCAGGTCTGCGCCGCGTTCGAACCGGACCGGCGCGCCCGGCGCTTCGCTGACGTTGACGAAAAGCCGTGCCGGGTTTTCGCCGCCTGCAGCATAGGCGTCGGGTCTGGCATCGCCATTGCAGTCGAAGACCGCCACGCCGCCGCCGACGAAGTGCTCCCATCCGCCCGCATAGATGTGCTGGACCGGCAGATCGGCGGAGCGGTCGACAAAGACCGGATGATCGCCATTGGCGTGCGCCGGCGCGGCATGGGCGAGCAAGGCGATGAGGAGGATCGCCCGCCTCATTTTCCGGTTGCCTGCGCGCCGAGAAGATCGTCCGTCACGGCGGCGAGCGCCAAAGCGGCCGCGCCTTGCGCCCAGATCATGTCACCCCAGGCATGGGTTTCAACGCGCGGGCCCTTGGCATGGGTCGCCGGCGAGAGACTGGTCATCTCGGCGAGCACGTCGCGCGCATAAAGATAGTCGTAGCGCATGCGCGCGCCCGAAAGGATGATCAGACCGGGATCGAAAAGCGTGACGACATTGGCGAGCCCCAGCGCGAGGAAGCGCCCGGCGCGATGGAAGATCGAGCGCGCGGCGGCGTTGCCGGCCTTGGCGTGGCTGAACAGGCTTTCGAGGATGATCTGCGGTTCGCGCTCGGCGCTGGTCCAGTTGAGCGCGGTCGATGCCTCGCGCACCAGCGCATAGTCGGCGACATAGGCTTCAAGGCAGCCGCGCTGGCCGCAGCGGCACAGCGCGCCGTCCAGATGCACCTTGGTGTGGCCAAGCTCCATGCCCATGCCGCCGGCGCCGCGATAGATCTCGTGATTGACGACCAGCCCCATGCCGACGCCGTGCTCGATGGTGACGACGGCAAAGTCGGGCAGGGCGCGTCCGGCGCCGAACCAGAGTTCGGCCATGGTCAAGAGGTTGGCGTCATTGTCGACAGAAACCGGCTTGCCGATCCGCTCGGCCACCATTTCGGCCAGCGGCACATCGGTGTCGGCCATGATGGGCGACCATTGGATGCGGCCGCGGTCGGCGTCGACGAAGCCGGGCACGCCAAGGCCGACGGCGGCCAGGTCGTCGCGACCGAGGCGGGCGGCCCGGAGCGCCGCGTCGAGCATGTCGGCGGTTTCGGTGAGGATGTCGGCGGTCGAATGACGCGCATGGGCGCGGGGCGCGCTGGCCTCACCGATCCGGTTGCCGGCAAAGTCGACGATCACCGCGGAATGGCTGGGCGAGGACAGTTTGATGCCGGCGACAAAGCGGGCCCCGGGCCGCACGCTGAGCGCCACGGGTGGCCGTCCGCGTCCGCTTTCGGCGTCGCGTTGCGGCGAGCCGGTCTCGCGGATCAGGCCGGTGTCGATCAGCTCGGACGTGATTGCGGTGACCGAGCCCGGGCTTATGCCGACCTTGCGGGCCACATCGACGCGCGCGATCGAGCCGGCCGCACGGATTGCCTCGAAGACCTGCTGGCGCAACGGCTTGATCGAACTGGACAGGGGCGGCGTCAGCGGGCCGCATCCGGTCGGTGCGAGATTTGGCAAATCCCTGCGCAAAAGGACGTCAGCGGCCATTTTCTTCAGGCGCCGACATAAATAATGGCGTTCCGGCGACCGGGATCGCGTTGAAACACGCCATGTCGGCGCTTCCTCCCAAGCCGAGGGTAGTCTTTTTCAGCGAAAGGCGTCAAATTAATTTTGACAATTGAATTTAATATGCGATGGTGTCGTACGGCCTTACGGTCGCCGCGCCGGAGGAGGCGCACATACGGGAGGAAATCATCATGCGTAAAGCAATCGTGCTTGCGGCCGCCTTGGCTGTGGGACTGTCTTCAACCGCCCTGGCCCAGGACAGCGTTACCGTCGGCGTGAGCTGGTCGAATTTCCAGGAAGAACGCTGGAAAACGGACGAAGCGGCGATCAAGGCCGCGCTTGAGGAAGCGGGCGCCGAATATGTGTCGGCGGACGCCCAATCATCGTCCGCCAAGCAATTGTCGGACATTGAAAGCCTGATTGCGCAGGGCGTCGATGCGCTGATCATCCTGGCTCAGGACGCCCAGGCGATCGGGCCCGCCGTGCAGGCGGCTGCCGACGAAGGGATTCCCGTGGTCGGCTATGACCGGCTGATCGAGGATGCGCGCGCTTTCTACCTGACCTTCGACAATATCGAGGTCGGGCGGATGCAGGCGCGCGCCGTTTTCGCCGCGCAGCCCACCGGCAACTATGTCATGATCAAGGGCTCGGCGCAGGACCCGAACGCAGACTTCCTGCGCGGCGGCCAGCAGGAGGTGCTGCAGGAAGCCATCGATGCCGGCGACATCACCATTGTCGGCGAGGCCTATACGGACGGCTGGCTTCCGGCCAACGCCCAGCGCAACATGGAGCAGATCCTGACTGCCAACGACAACAATGTCGATGCGGTCGTCGCCTCCAATGACGGAACCGCCGGCGGCGTCGTTGCCGCGCTCACCGCACAGGGCATGGAGGGCATTCCCGTCTCCGGCCAGGACGGCGACCATGCGGCGCTGAACCGCGTCGCGCTCGGTACCCAGACGGTATCGGTCTGGAAGGATGCGCGCGATCTGGGCCGCGCGGCCGGCGAGATCGCCGTTGCCATGGCCAACGGCACCGCGATGGGCGACATCGAGGGCGCGGCGGCGTGGACATCGCCCGCCGGCACCGAGATGACCGCCCGGTTCCTCGAGCCGGTTCCGGTCACCGCCGACAATCTGACGGTGGTCGTCGATGCGGGCTGGATCGACCAGGAAACGCTCTGTCAGGGCGTGACCGGCGGTCCCGCTCCCTGCAACTGATCGCAGCCTGACACCCGCTCTCTCCCGCGCGCCGATGCGCGGGGGAGGGCGCCCTCATTTCCGGAGTTAGGCCGTGAGCGACAGCCCCGCCCTGCCGAAAGCCGCGCCCGGCATGCGCAATCTTGCGCGGACGCTTGAGATCGACACCCGTCTTCTGGGCATGATCGGCGCATTCATCGCGCTGTGCCTGGTGTTCCATTTCCTGACCGACGGGCGGTTTCTGACGCCGCGCAACATCTTCAACCTGACCATCCAGACCGTCTCCGTCGGCATCATGGCGACCGGCATGGTGTTCGTCATCGTCACGCGGCACATCGATCTTTCGGTCGGCTCGCTGCTGGCGACCTGTTCGGCGATGATGGCGATGACCCAGACGCTCGTGACGCCCGAATGGCTGGGTCTGGGCCTCAACCATCCGCTGACGGCGCCGGCCGCGATCGTCGTCGGGCTTGGAACCGGGATCGTCATCGGCGCCTTCCACGGCTGGCTGATCGGCTATCTGGGCATTCCGGCCTTCATCGTCACGCTGGGCGGGCTTCTTGTCTGGCGCAACGTCGCCTGGTATCTGACCAACGGGCAGACGATCGGCCCGCTCGACGGCAATTTCCAGCTCTTCGGCGGCATTGGCGGCACGCTGGGCGAAACCTGGAGCTGGGTCTTCGGACTGATCTGCGCAGCGGCGGCACTCTATGCGATCTGGCAGTCGCGGCGCAACAAGATCAGCCACGATTTTCCGGTCAAACCGCTGTGGGCGGAAATCGCGCTGGGCGCGCTCGTGACCGCCGCGATCCTCGGCTTCATCGCCATCCTCAATGCCTACCAGATCCCGGAACGCCGGCTGGAGCGCATGTTCGAGGCGCGCGGCGAGGTGCTGCCGGAGGGCTTCACCGCCGGATACGGGCTGCCGATCTCGGTGCTCTTGCTGATCGCGGTCGCGGTAACGATGACGATTATCGCCAACCGCACGCGGCTTGGCCGTTACATCTTTGCCACCGGCGGCAATCCGGACGCGGCTGAACTGTCGGGCATCAACACGCGCCTCTTGACGGTTAAAGTGTTCATCATGATGGGCATTTTGTGCGCGATCAGCGCGGTCGTCGCCTCCTCGCGCCAGACGTTCCATTCCAACGACATCGGCACGCTGGACGAGTTGCGCGTCATCGCCGCCGCCGTCATCGGCGGCACGGCGCTGGCCGGCGGGGTCGGCACGATCTACGGGGCGATCCTGGGTGCGCTCATCATGCAGTCGCTGCAATCGGGCATGGCGATGGTCGGCGTCGATGCGCCGTTCCAGAACATCGTCGTCGGCACGGTTCTCGTCGTCGCCGTCCTGATCGACACGATCTACCGCAAGCGGACGGGAGACTGACCATGGCCGACACGATCGATCGTTCCGGCACGCCGCTTGTGGAGATGCGCGACATCTCGATCGCCTTCGGCGGCATCAAGGCTGTCAACCACGTCTCCGTCGATCTGTTTCCGGGCGAGGTGGTCGGGCTTCTCGGCCACAATGGCGCCGGCAAGTCGACGCTGATCAAATGCCTTTCGGGCGCCTACCGGATGGATGCGGGCGAGATCTTCATCAATGGCGACAAGGCGGCGATCAACAATCCGCGCGATGCGCGGCGCTACAACATCGAGACCATCTACCAGACGCTGGCGCTTGCCGACAATCTGGACGCCGCCTCGAACCTGTTTCTGGGCCGCGAGCTGACGACGCCGGTGGGGCTTGTCGACGATGCGCGCATGGAGGCCGAAACCCGTCAGATCATGGGCCGGCTCAATCCGAACTTCCAGAAGTTCTCCGCGCCGGTCTCGGCGCTTTCAGGCGGCCAGCGCCAGTCGGTGGCGATCGCGCGCGCGGTCTATTTCAACGCCAGGATCCTGATCATGGACGAGCCGACCGCCGCGCTCGGGCCGCAGGAAACGCGCATGGTCGCCGACCTGATCGACGAGTTGAAGCGACAGGGTCTGGGCATCTTCCTGATCGATCACGATGTGCACCAGGTCAAGGAACTGTGCGACCGGGCGGCAGTGATGAAGAATGGCGAACTGGTCGGCGTCGTCGATGTGGACTCGGTCTCGGTCGATGACATTCTGGCGATGATCATCGCCGGCAAAAAGCCGCAAATGGCAGCGTGATGTATATCGGTCTCGACCTGGGCACGTCCGGCCTCAAGGGGCTGGTCATCGACGAGCGCCAGTCGGTCGTCGGCGAGGCGCATGAGGCGCTGACCGTGTCGCGCCCCCATCCGGGCTGGTCGGAGCAGGCGCCGAGCGACTGGCTGGCTGCCGCCGAAAGCGTTCTCGATCAACTTGCCAAGGCGCACGACCTGTCCGCCGTGCGGGCGATCGGCCTTTCGGGCCAGATGCACGGGGCGACGCTGCTGGACGCGTCCGATGCCGTCTTGCGGCCCTGCATGCTGTGGAACGACACGCGCAGCCACGAACAGGCGGCGGCGATGGATGCCGATCCCGAGTTCCGCGCGGTGACGGGCAACATCGTCTTTCCCGGATTCACCGCGCCCAAGGTCGCCTGGGTGCGCGACAATGAACCCGACATTTTCGAACGCATTGCCAAGGTGCTGCTGCCGAAGGACTATCTGCGCCTGTGGCTGACGGGCGGCTATCATTCCGACAAGTCGGATTCGGCCGGAACGGCGTGGCTCGACACGGGCAAGCGCGTCTGGTCGAAAAGCCTTCTGGCCAAGACGGGTTTGGGCATGATCCACATGCCGGCACTGGTCGACGGAAGCGATGTGACGGGCAAGCTGCGCGCCGAGATCATGGACCGGTGGGGCTTGTCTGGAGACTGTGTCGTCGCAGGCGGCGGCGGCGACAATGCCGCGTCGGCGATCGGCGCCGGCGTTACTGAGGCAGGCGAGGCGTTCGTGTCGCTGGGCACGTCGGGCGTGCTGTTTGCGGCATGCGATGCCTATGCGCCGGCGCCGGAGACCGCAGTCCACACATTCTGTCACGCATTACCCCGTACCTGGCACCAGATGGGGGTGATCCTGTCCGCGACCGACGCGCTCAACTGGTATGCATTGCTTGTGGGCGATGATCCCGCCGCGCTGACCGGCGCGCTCGGCGATCTCGCCGCGCCGGGCCGGACGCTGTTCCTGCCCTATCTGGGCGGCGAGCGCACACCGCACAACGACGCCGCCGTGCGCGGCGCGCTTCTCGGCCTCGAGCATGCCAGCGACCGCGACGCGGTCACCCGCGCCGTGCTCGAAGGGGTCGTCCATGCGGTGTGCGACTGCCGCGATGCGCTGGCTGCGACGGGCACCCGGTTCGACCGGCTGCTCGCCGTCGGCGGCGGAGCGAAGTCCGACTATTGGCTCAAGGCACTGGCCACATCGCTGCAAACGTCCATCGACGTGCCGGTCGCCGGCGATTTCGGCGGCGCGTTTGGCGCTGCGCGGCTTGCGATGATGGCCGCGGGCGATCTCGATCCGTCAGGGCTGAAGCCGCCGCCGATTGCCAAGACGATCGATCCCGACACTGCGCTCGCCGACGCGTTCGCCGGCGCCCATGTGCGCTATCAAACCGCCTATGCCCAGACGAGGATGCTGTGATGAGCGACTTCTTCAAAGGAATCGAGCCGATCCGGTACGAGGGATCGGACAGCGCCAACCCGCTGGCTTACCGCCACTACAATGCGGACGAAGTGGTGATGGGCAAACGGCTGGAAGACCATTTGCGGTTCGCGGTCGCCTGGTGGCATTCGTTTGCCTGGCCGGGCGGCGATCCGTTCGGAGGCCAGACATTCGAGCGGCCATGGTTCGGCGACACGATGGAGTTGGCCAAGCTGAAAGCCGACGTGGCCTTCGAGATGTTTGCGATCCTCGGCCAGCCGTTCTTCTGTTTCCACGATGCCGATATCCGCCCCGAGGGCGACGGGTTTGCCGGCAATACGGCCAACCTTGAGGAGATGGTCGACTATATTGGCGCCAAGATGGAGGCGGTCGGCACAAAGCTGCTCTGGGGCACGGCGAACCTGTTCTCGCACCGGCGCTACATGGCCGGCGCGGCCACCAACCCCGATCCGGACGTTTTCGCTTTCGCGGCGGCGACGGTGAAGACCTGCATGGATGCGACGCACAAGCTCGGCGGCGCAAACTATGTCTTGTGGGGCGGCCGGGAGGGCTATGAGACGCTTTTGAACACCGACCTTGCGCGCGAGGACGCCCAGCTTGGCCGGTTCATGAACATGGTGGTCGAATACAAGCACAGGATCGGTTTTGACGGCACGATCCTGATCGAGCCCAAGCCGCAGGAGCCGACCAAGCACCAGTACGATTATGACGTCGCGACGGTCTTCGGTTTCCTGAAGCGCCACGGGCTGGAAGACGAGATCAAGGTCAATATCGAGCAGGGACACGCGATCCTCGCCGGTCATTCGTTCGAGCACGAGATTGCGCTTGCCACGGCGCTCGGCATTTTCGGTTCGATCGACATGAACCGGAACGACTACCAGTCCGGCTGGGACACCGATCAGTTTCCGAACAACGGGCCGGAGGTGACGCTCGCCTATTACGAAATTCTCAAGGCGGGCGGTTTCACCACGGGCGGCACGAATTTCGACGCGAAACTCCGCCGCCAGTCGCTCGATCCCGAAGACCTGATCGCGGCGCATGTGGGCGGCATGGATGTGTGCGCCAAGGCACTCAAATCGGCGGTGGCGATGCTCGAAGACGGCACGTTGGAGCGGCTGCGCGCCGAGCGGTATTCGGGCTGGGATACGGACGACTCCCGGGCGCTGTTGAATCACGCCACGCTCGAACATTGCGAAGAATGCGTGCGGGACCGGCCGATCGACCCCCAACCGCGTTCGGGCAGGCAGGAGCGGCTCGAGAACATCGTCAACCGGTTCGTGTGAACCTGCCGCGCCATGCATGGCCGGTGTGCCATCCATGTGGGAGGGGTATTGCGCGGTCGGGTGCGGCGGGTCTAGGTGGAGGCAAATCGCCAAAACCACGGGGTTCCGCCGATGCTCCAGCCCGCCAAACCCGACCTTTCACCGTTCGACTGGGAAGATGCGTTCCGGCTCGAGGACCAACTGACCGACGATGAGCGGATGATCCGCGATGCGGCGCGCTCCTATGCCGCCGACCGGCTGCAGCCGCGCGTGATCGACGCCTATCGCGAGGAGACGACCGATCCGTCGATCTTCGCCGAGATGGGTGAGATGGGGCTTCTGGGCGTGACAATCCCGGAAGAGTATGGCGGTGTCGGCGCGGGCTATGTCTCCTACGGGCTTGTCGCCCGCGAGATCGAGCGGGTGGATTCAGGCTACCGGTCGATGATGAGCGTGCAATCCTCGCTCGTCATGTATCCGATCCACGCCTACGGCTCGGAGGAGCAGCGGACGAAATATCTGCCGAAGCTGGCTTCGGGCGAATGGATCGGCTGTTTCGGCCTGACCGAGCCGGACGCCGGCTCCGATCCGGGCGGGATGAAGACCGTCGCCAGAAAGACCGCCGATGGCTATGCGCTGTCGGGTTCGAAAATGTGGATCTCCAACGCGCCGATCGCCGACGTGTTCGTGGTCTGGGCGAAATCGGAAGCCCATGGCGGCAAGATCCGCGGCTTCGTGCTCGAAAAGGGGCTGAAAGGGCTGTCGGCGCCCAAGATCGGCGGCAAGCTGTCCCTGCGCGCCTCGATCACCGGCGAGGTCGTCATGGACAATGTCGAGGTGGGCGAGGATGCGCTGCTGCCGCATGTCGAAGGGCTGAAAGGCCCGTTCGGCTGCCTCAACCGGGCGCGTTTCGGCATTTCCTGGGGCGTGATGGGCGCCGCCGAATTCTGCTGGCACGCGGCACGGCAATACGGGCTCGACCGGAAACAGTTCGGAAAGCCGCTGGCGCAGACGCAGCTCTTCCAGAAGAAGCTTGCCGACATGCAGACCGAGATCGCGCTGGGCCTGCAAGGCTCATTGCGGGTCGGCCGGCTGATGGACGAGGGCGAGGCGGCGCCGGAGATGATCTCACTGGTCAAGCGCAACAATTGCGGCAAGGCGCTCGATGTGGCGCGCATGGCGCGCGACATGCATGGCGGCAACGGCATCTCCGAGGAGTTCCAGGTGTTCCGCCACATGGCCAACCTTGAAACCGTCAACACCTATGAAGGCACGCACGACGTGCACGCGCTGATCCTCGGACGCGCCCAGACCGGATTGCAGGCGTTTTTCTGACGGCGTTCCAACCTCCCCCTTGAGGGGAGGTCGGCGAGTGCCGAGCCAAGCGAGGCAGAGCCGGGTGGGGGTCTATGTCAGCTGCGGCCTTTGACTGTCACCCCCACCCGCTCAACCAGCGCAAGCTCGGTTTCGCGTGCCTCCCCTCAAGGGGGAGGCGGGGCGCCCGCCAC